TTAAATGCTGTTTATTGTACAAATTCATATAGAATTTATATATATCTTATATACTTACTCATATAGAATTAGATTAAATGCTGTTTATTGTACAAATTCATATAGAATTTATATATATTTTACTTATATACTTACATACTGTTCACATGAACTCTTACCATTTCTAGGCCTACAAATGAATATTCAGGACCCGTACCCCAAATACCTAACGATATACATCGTGTACAATTTTATCGCATTAATTAATGTATATAGTGCGAAATTTCATTTCAGGAGAGTAAATCAGCTATTGTTAATTAGTGGAGTTTGAAAAAAACAAAGAAATAATTGGTGGGATAATTAATTAATGATGGAAAATAATTAATTGCCAAATTATTAAAGACTTCCCTTATAAAATATGCAAATGATTAATGATGTTTTGTTAATTAATTTTGATAAGTAATAAATCTGTGAAGAATGAGGATTCAAAGTAAATTAGTATGATTTCTTTTTCCCTCACCAACATATCAGCTCATTAAATTTACATAATCAGAAAATTTTATTTCAGGAATTGCTTACAATAATGGATTACAATTATACGGTAAAGAAATATTTGGCCGATTTAAATAGTGAATATTCCACCGAAGAATTGAACAGGTTGAGATTTCAACTTACATATCGTTTATAATATTAGCTAATAATTTGATTCATCCATTATTTGTCTTTTCATCAAATAAAAGCTATGTATCTTTAATCTTTTTTCATTTCATTACAATTTGAGATGCAAATTTTGAGTTTGTTCGAAAATGAACTCTTTCATTAAGAAGGATTAAATTCTTTGCTTCATTTGAATTTCAAGTTTAACAGTTTTAACTTACCGCAGAATGTAAATCTGTTTACTTTTTACTTTTTATGTATAGGAAAGAGATAATTTCGTCTGAGACTTTGATCAATTTTTGTTTTAAACTTTTTAACAAATTTTTATAACACTAATTGTTTACGTTATAGCTATTCGGCCGGGACAAGTGGTCCATCTTATACTAGCGAACGTAGCACAGAAAATAGTGAACGATTAATTCCAACAAGGCAACAACTTAAGCTTACTTCACAGGTTTTACTTCATTCAGTTATTCATAATTAAAATTAGGTAAGTATTTTCTTTGGATGACTTCATCCTTTCATTTTGTAATCTGATGAATTTTGAATTTCGAACTTATGATTTAAAGATTTCAGATTTTTATGAAACGAAATTAAATAAAAAGGATAAACTCTGTTAAGTTAAAGCATCTCTACAAGATGAATAAGCATTAGAATTTATATCAGAAATGGATCACTAAATAAGTATAGTAGGATGGTCGAGTTATAGGAAACAAAAGATATATTTTAACCGTTTAATTTTGAAATTTAATGTTTAAGATAAGTTAAAAGTATCGCATTTATTCTATATTTAATAGATATAATAAGACTTTTCCAATATACGCAGAATACTCTTTGTATTAGTCAGCCGAGGAATTAATGAAAAAAAAGAATTGCTAGGGTTCGAATTTTAGCAATCAAATAAGTTGTTTCAAAATTTTAATTGTTGGACTTTTCTTCAAATTCTGTTTTTTCGGGACTTTCTGATTGACAGGAAAAAAATATAGATATGGCGTCATTGTTGCTATTAATAATTTAAATTTGTGTGAATTTAAATGAAGAGAAGTTGTAAATGGAGTATTTTTCTGATGTGTATGTTTATTTTAACAAAAAAAGAGTATTTACTTCTTGTTCTTTTAATGGCAATACTTTCTTGCATATTACAAAATTTTTTTCATTGTTAACTGAAATTTGCCTAAAATAGCGATTATAATAAACTTAAATTTATTAATTATTCCCCAGACTAATTGCCAAAATTATTAATTATTGTAGTTCTTAACTTTTGTCAATAGAAAATTTTCAAGTAAAGATTATCAATAAATTATTAAAATTACTTAATATTTCTGCTTATACTGTAAATCGTTATACCACAAACTTTTTGGAATATTAGTTGAGATTTTAGGAGTATTCCTAAACTCAACAATTTCATTATTTCTAACTGATATGGGAACATTTTAGCAAATATTTCAGTTTTGGCAAATTTTAGAATGGGTAAAAAAAAATCATTATTGTACTATCTCTAATCATTTAAGTAAACACTTCGGCAAATTAATTTCACTAAATTCAGAAGTGCAATAAAAAATGTGTGCTGTATGTTTTGTTGATATTAAATTTATTTTCATACAAATAATATTTTTCATTTATAGGTAGCACATAATCCTTTGCAATTTGTCACCGCACAGTCAGGCGCAACTGCTTTATGTGAACAAGCTAAACAGCAACTTATCATATCCGATCAACAAAAAAGGATACGTGATGAAGTTCGCAAAAATATGGTACAGCAAATTAATATTTGAGTTTTTCATTTAGTGCTTTGAACTTGTAATCGAAATTTTGTCAAAGTACATTTGGATTTTAAAGCATTTAATTTTCAATTTTGTCATTACTTTTTTATTTTTCAACAAAATCTGCGATTGCAAAATTTGTTTTGCATTTTAATGGAAAGAATTTGGAAAAATTAGATGTTGCAAAATCAATTCGAATTGTATTCATCTCAAATTAATTTCCGATAATTTCAGTGTAAGGATGATGAAGATGAGGCAGGATGGCAATCAAACCTGGATTCATGGTTGTCAAAACGAAAATCAGCTATATTAAGATGGAAAGATGATAATATTTCCAATAGGTTTCTACTTTTAATTTTCTTGAAATAGCAGAATTAAAGTGTTGAAGAAAAAAAATCTTTTCTAATAGCAGTGGGATAAGTGTTGTTATTATTGTCGGTAGATTGTCTGAGATATAAAAGAGGTAGATAATAAGCGTAGATGCAGTTAAGTATTCTTCTTTTAGTCTATTTGTATCTTTAGCATTCAAAAAAAAAAAAAAATCGCTTGAAAATAGTGACTTGTATATAGGTGTGTCTTCTATTTTAGCTGATCAATTAATTGCAAAAATTATACAAAGTGCTAGCCAAAAGTGGTTGAGTTAAAGTAAATTTGTTTTGCTTTTCATCTGAAATTTAATTTTTCATTACCAAAATTAAAATAATCACTATTGTGTGAAGTTTGTCATGCATAACTTTTGACTTTATATTAATTTAACAGTTACAAATTACTGACTGAATAATTTAATAAGGTATTATTGAAAAACTTTAGAAATAAAGAACGGGAAGATATTGCTCAAAGTAAAAGAGTTCAACAACAACAGCATGAACAACAACAGTCAAAAAGCGATAACATCACTGAGTCAAGAAAGGTTAACAAGTTTTAAAAAAAGAAAAAAGAGAAGGAAATTTCTTAAAAATGATATAAATGTTGGAATTTTTTTTTTTCAGTTCAAATCATTCCTACTTTTTAAATCAATATACATTTATTTGTTATATTTTATTATCTTTCCCGCTTTTCCTTCCTCGTCCTCTCTTCTTCCTCATTAACTTTTCCTCCAATGATACATGCATTTAATATGAATACATCCCTACACATGAATTAAGAGTTCCTATTGTCATATCGATACACATATATACACATACACATGTATGTAACAATGCAGCAGACATATCTGCTTACTTTTCCGTTTTTTTTTGAACTTTTAATTTTACCTTCATAAATTGTTGTTGTGGTGTGTACGCACATAACACACACGCACACACACACACACACACACACACACACATACACACATACACATGCAGAGATATAAATTGTGTTAAAGTGTTTTTGACATTTAATTTCTCTTTTTTTATCTTTAACTTTATGTTTAAACAGTTGAGCTATATCATAAATTATTATATTTTGTTCTCTTTTTTTCGAAAGTTTTCCGTTTTTTCTTCCGTTCTAATTACAGTTTTCAACACTTTTCATGTATTATTTCCTTTTTCTTACTTTCTTCTGATCTCTATGCTAAACTGTATCACTAGTTTCTTGTTCCTGAAAACAAAATTATTTTAAGCCAAAAAAAATATTTCCATCCAAGAATGAATACAAATATAATGCAGAAATGAGATGGAAAGGATAAAAACAAAAAGCTTTTTACTCCATTATCTCATATCACTAAATGATCCATTATTGATAAGATTAATAGTTACAATGATATGTATTGATTTGTTTTTTTCTTAAATATCACAACTTATCACTTAGGAACATTTCAAAGGTTTCTATATTTACTCTTACCAAACAAATATCGCAAAATGTCCCATATGTGAAATCACTTGTAAGATTATCTGACATTTTTTGTATGCATACCAAATTATTCAAGAATTGATAAATTTATCAAATTTACGGTTTACTAGTTTACACGAATTGTTGTTCGTGTCATAGACGACATATTTCACACTCCTATCATAACAGTTAACATATTTTATGACTGTTGTAGATGACATACTTCGGGAGGAATCTTGGATTGTATATGGTGGAGTGTGTGATTGACTAGTCTCATTAATCCCATAAAGAAAAATTCTTCGAGTTTATATTCTTCAGTTTTAAATACTAAATTTCTAACACGAAAATTAGTGTCTTATCGGAATGATTCTGCATGTTTAAGTTCCGACAAATTTAATAAACCATATTAAATCGTTTGTATAATTTGAAAAAAAAAAAACAGGAATGTAAATATACAGGATATGCAAGGCTGTGATAAAATTTTAGATAAGGAAGCGTTTCTGTAGAAATGAGTCGGAATAAATTTGTTATTTTCACACTGCTACCGTACATTCCAGTAAATTCTTTTTCCCTTTTCTTATCATTGAATTTTCCACTTTATTTTCTATTTTCTTTTATCTATATGCATTCCATATGTTATAATAAAGTTATGCAAAGAAGCTATTTATCACTTTTATACTTTGTCGTTTCACTAATTAACATTATGATAAATGATAAGAAAATTAAATAAATGTTAAAAAAAGAGATGGAAATTTTATTTTAAATGAACAAATGCTTTGAAAGTACGTGGAATAATCAATTTTTATGTTTGCCGTGATTTTCTAATATTTGAAAGAGTAATTGACGAAATCTCGAGAGCATAATTCTCGAGTAGATTCCAATGATTCAAGAAAGTTGCAGGGATGTATTAGGGGAAGGGGAAGGAGTGATACTACTGCTACTGTCCTAATTTCGTCTTAATGCACTAATGACAAAACAGAATCATCACAACTACCATCAACATGCACACACATACACGTACACACACGCACGTGCACACACACACACGCATACACATACATGCACACATACAGACACACACACACACCCATATACATAGACATTAAATGACAACAACATTCGTCGTCAGTAAAGCCCATCCGTAGACATTTCTGTTTCGGTATTGGTATGATTTGTCAGGTGTAAATACTTTTATTACTATTATAACAGATTAATTTCTTAACAAATATTTGCAATTTATGCCTAAAATTTGCTGAATTAAATAATTGATTTTTCATACTTTGTATTTATTTTTATGAAAAGTTCGACATCCTTTTCCATCATAAAATTTTGTTTTCCCCATGGTATTTACCCCTTTTCTGGGTTAAAGTTCATCAAATGACACCATTTTACCTCATGCACTCCACTACAACTTCTGCGATTCATTATTCAATGAAATACAGCAATTAATGTTTCCATTAATTAATTTTTCGCTTTTCATCGAACACTTTCATTTTTGCTTAGATGACATTATTTTTTTTTATCCTTGTTTTCACTCAGAAATTTTAATTTTTATTTTAGAATTTATTCAGGAACAATTTAGCTTTTATAAAAGCCCGATTCAATTGATTAGTTTAATTAGTGACATCAAGAAGGCGAGCGGATTTTCATTTTGAATTTCGTTGGCAATATTAACAAATTTGTTGTTATCCTGAAATACTTTAATCTTCTTGATGATTCTTATTTATAGTTGTCATCTGTTTCCGCAATAATTATCATCATAAATGAAAACACGGAAAGTCTTTTAAAATTTGGCAAAATGTCATTTGACCTTTGACATTGGAGTATTAAAATTCGCCATCGACAGTTCAGTATGTTAGAACGAAAAAAAAACATACAGTGCTATTATTATTCAAAGGAAGACGATGAAAGAAAGAAATGACCTCTATGTGACACACAACATTGACGAATGTTAGGGGACTGATAGCGATCTTTTTTCCGCATTTCTTAACCATTGGAAAGTTTTGAAATCACTGGTCCTAATTGATTGTGTTCCAAATTTTTAAATTCATTTGCAAATGAATCAAAATGACACTGTGGCAGTTCCACTTTTAACGAAAATTTTACCATTATTGGACAAAAATTGTTTGTCTTAGTAGAATTATTTTATTTTTATTTTCTGTTTTTATTTTATTTTTCATTTTTTATTTTATATTTTTCTAATTTCAAGAAATTTTAAGTTAGCACCTATCATTAATTAAATTTATAATTCGATTTGTGAACATATACCTGTGAATGAATAATTTTGATGATTTAATGAATAAATAATTCAATCTTCGCTAACCTTCCTCCTCTAATCATGTTTTTTAAGAATAAAAAGAAAGAAAAAACAAAAGGTTAAAAGGTCAATTTGTTGATTTGATTAACATTAGAATCAAGAAAATGACAAATACAAAGAAATTATGTAAAATAGAATTTTATAGTTTATATAAAATAAATGATAACTAATCTTTTAAAAGTCATAATGTTTTATTATGACATTGGAGCAAAAGTCTTACCAGATTAGTGCCACTTTTGATTAAAACGAATTTAATTCATTAATTTCTAAAATATTACGTTACCTGTGCAACTACCTGTGCAGGCTGGTCAGCTCAGTTAGTAGAGCATAACACTCTAAATCTGGCCGTCGCGGATTCGAACTCCCGCATCCGGCTATTCAGGGATATCTTTTTCCGTGGATACCTTTGTTATTGATTGTTGCATATTTTAATCTCTTAAGACTTTTCATAAAATTTGATTGAGTAGTTTTATGCAAAGGTACAAATTTTTTTTTCTTTTTTTGTAGTTCAAATTAATCGGATGCTATTAAGGAATGATTACGAAATAATGCGAACAAATCTAATTATTGAGTAAATTTATGTGAAGAAGTAATGAGGAATCGGTAGAAAGGAGGGTTGATTTAAAGTGTTAATTAAAGCAATTTATTTGTAAAATTAATTCAGACAAATGTATGAAAATTTTGCGCTGAATGATAAATAATAATTATCATTGTAAGAACTGAGCAAGTTTCTTTTTTTTTTCATTTAATCTATTGATAAAATAAATAGTCAAATTTTATCACGACTATGGATATTTATTCTTTTCCACTATATATACTTTATCGATTTTACCAAGTGTAATATGGTAGTTCATTGAGGTTTTTTGCGGAGAAGTTGGAATATCCAGCAGTTGAGGGTAAGGCGAGAAACTCAAAAAGAATATTTGGCGAGTTAAATTGTGAGTTGCAAGTGGTTGCATAGAATAGATGGGAATCATTTGGGATCAGCGAATTTAATCATTTTATTTTATCAAAAATAAGTTTGATTGATCTAAGTATTAAATCCAAAAATAACCCATTAAACTTTCAAAAAATAGTAATAACTTGGGAAAAAATTGCTGGGATACAATTTGAAATAGTTCAATTTTTCAGGTTTCAATTACTATGTTAGGATTCATAAAATTAGTTAAACATTATATTTAGAA